ATGTGTGTACTAGTTCAAAATAGTTGATTGTGTTTGTATGAATTGAGAATTTACTTTTACATGTTTGTCATATAAGGATTTTTATTTTTTTTGTTGTTGAAGGGATTTATGGGTAAGAGTGAAAAAGTTGTTGTAGAAGTATACTTTGACTAAATGATTTTCACAAAAGGGTCCTTATTATTGTTTCGAGAAAAATATTGAAAACACCTTTGAATTTAACACTAATTATTAATAGTTTTAAAGATACTTTTTTATTTGATTAATTATACTTAGATATATCTCTGATCAGCTACTTGATATAACAAGAGGTCTCAAATTCTTGTAGGAGCATGATATCTTTAATAAAAAATCAAAAGAAGTGTTCAAAACACTTCTAAACTTGGTGAGGATTTAAGGGTGTATGTCTGTTATGTTGCAAGATTGAGGATTTGTTTAAGTTTAGTTAATCAAAGTTGGCAAATATTTTTAAAATTGATAATAGTTCAGGAATGAAACTAATAATTCACGGCAAATTTAGAAATGTTTTTAAAACTTGTCATGAGCACTCATTTAAACATTTCTATTACAGCTGGAATGTTATTTGAGTTAATATCTCAGATGGTCACTCAATTATTTTTTCAGAAAGTTATTCAATTTTGATTTTTTATTCAAAAGTCACTCAACTATGAATTCTTTTTTTACAAAATCGCTTAACTATAAATTTTTTCTCAGAAAGTCACTCAACTATGAGTGTTTTACTTACAAAGTTCAGTGACTTTTTAAGAAAAGAAATCATAGTTGAGTGACTTTCTGAGAAAAAAATGATAGTTGAGTGACCATTTGAGATGTTACCTCTTAATTATTTTAATATTTTACTAACCTCACATTTGAATATGCAATCTGAAGTTAAATTTCACATGAACATTTGGACATGAATTCGTGATTATGATTTCAAATCCAAACTTTTCAAATTCATTGTTTCCTTTTTTAAAAATATAAAAGATTATTCATAAATTTACATTTTGTAAAGTAAAGAACCATTATTTTGAAATTTACGAAAACAGATTCATATTCAGCTGAAAAAATTATATTAATTTTTTTTTATGACTAATCGGAAAAAAACAAAATGAAAACGTAGACTTCAAACGCAGTAATGAAGCAATTTTTTAATCAATCAATAAGAGAGAAGCCAAACTTTGACTATATTTAGTTTGTATTTGGATATGATTTAAAATTCTGATTTGAAGTTAAATTTTGTTTGTATACGTAATTCAAGGTTTTTTCCGTTTTTTTAATTGTAAATAAATTATTATTATGACAATATTCCATGACACATAATTTTATAAAAAATTACTAGTTGATAATAATAAATAATTTACTTTTTTCAATATAATTCTTTCACATGATGATAAAACATGGTTTTTTCTACAAATTATACAATTATTAATCAAGATTTTTTTTTAAAAAAAAGGAAGAAAAATATTTTAGGGACTGTTGGACCCCATGCTGCCGTCCCCTCACTCCCTAGTCCCTACCGTCCATCCCATGTGTTTCTCGTTTTTTTTTTCTTTGGAAGTAAGCGTGCATCCGTCAAAGAATTTTATAAGCAGGATTGGTGATTAAGATAGAATGTACGTAAAGTTTATGATTATCTTGTAGAGATAAAAATGTTGTTTTTGAAAGGTCATTGACTCAACTGCAACAAATATCAAGTAACAATACACGGAAGACCAAGACAATTACCCAAAACATAGCATATAACAACAAAATAGCGCAATAATTAAAGATCAGCACAAACACTACAATAATACTATTATAACGACAATGACAAATATTAACTCCTCTAGGTAAAACAACACTACACTACCTGCTAATTTTCTACCCTAATACGTGTCCTCCATATTTTCCTACTTGGGTCCTTGGTAACCTCAATTTGGGTCATATTTTGTCTTATCACCTCTCCCTGATACTTCTTCGGCATATTTTTGTCTCTCCTTGTACGCTTTATAACCAAACTTTTGCACCTCATCACTAGTGCATCTGTACATCTTCTCTTCACATGTCCAAACCATCTCAATCTTACTTCCTTTATTTTATCCATCACGGAGGTCATTCTTATCTTATTATGAATATCCTCATTTCTAACATTATCAAGGAGTATGACCACACATCCACCTCAACATTTTCATCTCCGCAACATACATCTACTGAATATGAAAGTGTTTTATTTGCCAACACTTTGCGCCATATAACAAAGTCGGTCTAGTGACCACTCTATAGAATTTACCTTTGAGTTTCGGTGATACCTTCTTATCAGACAAACCCCAGATGCGAACCTCCACTTCATCCATACTGCATCAATATGATGTGTGATATCATTGTCAACCTCCAAACTCTCCTGAATTATAAAGAAATAAATATATAAAAGAATAATTAATTTTATATATAAGTTAATTTGTCAACAAGAAATTTAGATGAACTTCTCAGAGTTTAAATTCATGATCTATAATTAAAGATGAAGCAGTTCCACCATTACACCATAACCATGTCAATAAAGTCGTCTCATTTTCTACTCTTGCTTTATTATTAAAAAAAAAAAAATCAGTTTAAGTTTGCCCAGCAACAAGCCAGCAACTAATTAAACGGGGAATTTAAACAATTAATAAAGTTTAGGAAAAAAATGTTTCTTTTTTCCTTTGGACAAGATCTTCTACTATAACAAGTCACTTAAATCTAACAGAAGATAATGAAGGTTTTATTTGTTTTTTATTAATGAAGATTTTAATTTTGATATTCAGATTTTAGTTATATAAGTCAGTTTATTTTGTAGGTTTGAATCTTAATTATTAAGGAAACATTTGATATAAGGGATATATATAAGAAAAATGTTGAATATAGATTATCAATAAGTTTATTTTGTAGGTTTGAATTTTAATTATTAAGGAATCATTTGATAGGGGATATATATAAGAAAAAATGTTGAATATTGAGTATTAATAATGCTAACATTAATAATGATGGTATTAGTTATGCTGAGATTATTCCTTATATAATTATTTGATTTGGTATTAGAAATAACATGCATCGCATAAAAAAATTTAAATTTGATTTCAAAAATATCCCCCACAAATAAAGTGAAAAAGATGTGGAATAGATTTATTTGAAGGACAATTTTATCTTTGCCATGCTCATGCATACATTAAAAACTCTTATACTGCGAATATCATGATTTTTCATTTATTACTTACATGTAACATAATGTCAAATAGAGTATAGAAATAAGAAAAGATTACGTAGTAAGACAAACATGCGATGTGTATTTGCTATACACGATATAGTTTGAAACAAATATAATTTGTAGCTATTGTTAGGATTGAATAACAATTTTCTCTCTTCCCCACATCTCTCCTTTTTTTATGCACCCTCGCTCGCATCTCTCCTTTCTCTGCCCTTCTCTCTCGCCTCCCTTCTTTCTCAACACAAACACAAATGATAATGGTTAGTGATACAAATACAAATGCTAATCAACAGTCAATGATACAAATACAAATGATAACCATCAACTATACAAATCTTATTCAATGATACATAATACAAATACACATAAAAGCAAATTAAATGAATTCAAATACTAACACACAAGACAACAAATATAAATATAAATACACATGTCAACAACTAAATGCTCTATTTCAGTAATACAAAATACAAATACACAATGCAATAATACAAATACAAATACACATAGTAGCAGATGGATACAAATGCAAACACACAATGTAACAAATATAAATACACATGTCAACAATACAAAATATAAACATACAGTGCAATAAATACAAATACAAATACAAATGACAAATGCATACAAATACAAATGAATTTGTTAGTTACAAAAATACAACATTGATGCAATTATATTTATTGATACAAATTTTATTTTGTTAATACACTCAAATTTGATGCAATATCGATTCAATTATATTCACTAATACAATTATAATCATCAATACATATATACAATTATCCATCTCTCATTTTCATATGTCCATTTAATTTATACTAAAATTGAAAATCGATCAAATGAAATAGTTGGGCCACATTGGGCTCAACAATATTAAAGTGGGTATATGCAACACATCGTGAGACCCAAAACTCAAAGACCAACCCAACAAACACTTTAACAAACGACCAATTGTTACATCAAATCCAATATACAAGCAGTGTATACAGGATCATTGGCATATACCCAGGGCCGTTTAGTAGTTGGTTAGAGTTATTCAGATATTACTAGTTACGAGAGAATGTATTTTTTTTATGCAGGTATTAGTAGTATGCAAAGATTAATTATTCCACCTTCTATCTTCTATGCTGCATAAAATAATACATACATTCTCTCATTACTTATTAATTTTATACATTAATAACTTACCTCCTAACTAACTACCAAACGTGATATTACTTATGCATGATTTAATATATACATGTATATATTAGATATACACATTGCATATTGACTAGAATATGCAAAATAATGATTGAGATTATTTTTTTGTGAAGAACTTTGTTAGAAAATGAAAACCAGACTACACGCTCTGATCGAACTGTAATATTTTCGAAAATTTTAATGTATATAATTTGCAATATAATGTTCCCATTCTCATGAAATCATATACTAGTATTTTTCATTTCTTAAAAGTTGTCTAAGAGAGTTAAACGAACTTTAGGTTAATCTTTTCAAAAACCATTTTTTTTTCTACTTTGATCAAAGAAAATTAGTAATAAAATAATTAAGGTGCCTATTTGCTTGTCCATGCAATATCTTTAAACTAAATTTTAGTTGATATTTCTTCTGCTTCAAAATACTTATGGTCCTTGTTATAATAATCTTGTTTTTGAAATACTTGTCATTTCAAATATCATAATTATAACACATAAATAAAATAATTAAATAAAGAAATTATTACATAATATCTTAAGACAATATTAAAAACCCCACAAGCATTTTAAGACAAGACAGGAGTATAATTAACTAATCTCATACTAATCCATATACAATCCAACATGGACCCCATCCCATCACGTTTCCATGCCGTTGCGTTAATAAGCAGAAATATATCAATATGAATTGTGGTGTAGTAATAGGACTGTGTCACCTTTAATCAGACTTTCGAATTCGAATCTTTATGAAAAAAATCATGTTAGTAACGTCACCTCCGAATGAATCATGCAGTTAGTCGGGACTCCAGTATGGCCTTTGAACACTGAATGAAAAACCAAAACAAATAAATAGACCGCGATTATCAAACTCTACTCTCACCTTGATATTCTAACCTTTCGGGTTCGAGCTTAGATACGAAAGAAATCCTGTTGGAAGCGCCATCTTCAAATGAGTCCTGCGGTCTATCCAAATTTAGTCGGGACTCGAGTGTGGTCAGGTGAAAAACCAGAAAAAGAAATAGAAATATCAATACTCTATTTTTACGCGTAAAACAAAACATGACAAGTAAAAATAAACCACGGTTATTAAACTCTACTCTCACCTTGATATTATAACCTTCCAACTATCATCCTCCACATGTTGACAGTCACACTGTCACAAACTCAATAACCCCCCATTTTCTCTCTGTATTTTTTTCAAGCTTTCTCCAATGGGGGATTGCGATGCCGCCCCAACCCATCACCACCCAAACAATCTGATCCAGAAAGAAACCGCTCTACAAGCAATCAACACAATAATCCAGCTCCATTTCGAGAAAACCCTCGAGAAAAAACGAGCAATCGATTTACAAAAAAAGGAACTATGGAAGATGTTTCAACATTTCTTCGTCTTCCTCTCTCTAATCTTCCTGGGTCAAGCTCTTTCTCCGAAGCTTCAATGCCGACATTGCTGGATACCCATTGGTCTTCTCTCGTTATCCCATCTGATTTTCTACGTATCTGTAGCGCAAACATTGAGATGCATAAATGGGTTTAAGTATCAACGGAGATGTCATAAATTGACATTAGGGTTAGCTACAGAAAGGTTAAGGCAACTGAAGATGAGGATTAACAATGGTGGGATTGAAGAAATTGGGGATGAATTTGAAATACATTATCAAGAACCACCAGAGAGTTATTTTGGTAAGTTTAAGAGGAATTGGGCATTGCATTTTGGGTTCTTGATTTTTATTTATGGATTTATGGTTTCTTCATCTGTTGTAATACTCTGTTTTTGAGATCTTCAAAAGAATGAACTTTGGCTAGGGTTTTGGGTAGGGTGGGTGGATGGAGAGGGGAGGGGCAATTTTGGGAATTTTGATGGAAAATATTTATTGTAATTTTAAAAAATTGGATGAATTATGGTTTTTTTTTTTTGGTAGTTTGTTTATTTAAAATTGTGGATATGTGCATTTTTGTTTTGTAGGTTAGTGCTTCTAGATTTTCTTTTTAAAATATCATACTCCCTCCGTTCAATTTATATGTTACTTTTCGAATTTTGAAATTTAAATAAGTCTATTTTTTATTGTAAGTTTTTCACAGATGTTTTAAACATTTTGAATTATTAATTTTTGTGACTTATAGTACTTTTTACGTAGTTTACAAATATATAAATTTTATTTTTAAAAAATTGAAAATTCCATGCTCAAATGATTAGTCAAACCTAAACTGTTTGACTTTTGAAAAATGAATAGTGCCACATAAATTGGAACAAACGGAGTATTAGGAAAGAGATTTGTGTGTAATTTACTTCCATGTCGATGTGATATTGTTTGACTTGATATATACTAGTTTATAAAGAAAGAAGATTTGAAATTTATGATCTATTTCACAACTTGTCTGATTGGTTATAAATCGTTCCATTCAAGATAAAATGAGAATTTTGAAGTTTAATTATTTTTAATTATAAAAAAATGACATTATTTTTTAAACGAACTAAAAAAAACAAACAAATGAAGTATTATTATATTAGTAAGATATTTTTGAATAGTTTGGAAATTTAAATTTCCAATAAAAGAAGGGAAAAAAGAAAGGTAGAATGGAGAAAGTGGGATTTTTGGTTTATGTGTATTTGGTTGTTTTTTTTAGTAGTAATTTAAATAGTGCGTAGTTTCTTTGTTTTATATTACTGGACTCAGGTTGACATTTGACGTGTTTGATTTTTTAAAAATTAGTTAAAATTGTACTTTATAAAATCAACTTTATTTATTTTAAATATGAGTGTTTATTGAAATGTTTATTATTATTATTATTCTTGTTTTAGTGGTTTTGAATGTTTAATAAATGTGCATATTCTTTTTAGGTATGTTTTAATAGAGTTAAATGCTAAAACTATGTCACGCAAAACGAAAATAAAATGAATTTGACACTTTATAATAAGTAGCTCACGAATAATGAGAAAGCTGCCACATGACGGATTAGCACTTTTCTACCATATTGTTAAACCTATTAAATGCCTTCGAATAAATTATGATTAAATATTATAAAAAATGTTAATTGTGATAAAATAGTGTTATAATTGAAGTATAAGAAACAATATATTATATATTAGTAGCATGTATCCAAGAAGAAAAAACTATCAGAGAAATACTACGACTAGTGAAAGGATGCCAACTACCCCCTACGTCTAATAATAGTTGTCCACTATACTATTTTGGAGTGTTCAACAATTCATGTCCACTTTACGAAATCAATGAATAATTTTATACTTGGTTTCTCATTTACCCTTAGTCCCTTATCATTAATTATAGTCATTTTTCCTATTACATTTTTCAAGACGTTGTATTTATTATATTCATAGGGTTAATATAGTAAAATTACTCTTCTATTTATAGTTTCTTAAGAAGTGTGTAAAGTCAATAATGGACAAGTATTGTTGGATAAAGGGAATATCTTCTTAACGGATTATATTTTACCATTTAAACTCGACTCATATTACCGATGTACAAAATACAAAAGAAAAAGTTAATAATAATAAAATTTCTCTATACTTTTGTTGACATGTATATAAATCTATGAAAAAATGAAATACTTGTAGAAAAACAATAGGTTCAAAACCAGCGTATAGTAATAAAAGACTAAATTCTAATAGCATTTAATAGATATTATCATTTATCTATATGGACCTTTTTCCAGAACTTAAAACAATGTTAATATGAGTCACTAAAATAAAATTGTAAAAATTAAACATAAATGATACTACCAACTCTTCTTTTCTAATTGATGTTAGACATTAATGCATCAAGCTTTTTCTTGTAAAATATTTATTATGAAAATGAAAAGTGCCATCAAAGAAAATTGAACATTTTAAAATGTCAGTCAACTGTAATTTTAGAAAGGAGGAGGGAAAAAAAAGTTATTTGATTCAAAAGTTTGAGTTAATTATAATTTTGATTTTTTTGTCCTTTGATATTCAAGCTTGACTAAATTTGAATTCTCGTCTTACAAAAGTCATGTAATAATAGTTTTGAAATTGCTGTCATAAAAAGGATACAAATCATTATTACTGCCAAGCCAATCTATGAGCTTCACAATTATTAAAGTAAAATCTCTTTCCCACCTCTCGAGAGAACCCAAGGATTTTAAAACCAAAGAAAAATATTTCATTTTTAAAAAAACTTTAGCAAGTATACTACGTATAGTCAATGTATAATTTCTATATACATTATACATCGAGTATACGCCAACAATAGTTACAACTAGGCTGGTGAAATTCCTTTTAGCCGATAGACTAAAAATGTTGAGATACCAAAAAATTACAATATTATAAAAGAATGCAAAGCAACCAAGCAAGAACCACCCATTCTAGTACTACTCTCATTGAACCACGCTTAACTTCAAAGTTCTAAGGGAATCCGATGCGATAGTACTGGTATGATCACATCCTATTTTCAGAAACCAAGTAACTGGTTTATGTTTGCATGGATCTTTGGTTGTATACAAGATTCCAAAATTTTATTAAGTACATTTTCATGACTCTGCTGGGAAGAAAGAGCCCCCCTTGTTGCAAGAGTGATGGAACAGAACTAAATTAGAATACATAAGACTCAGCTAGCTATTATTATACTATGAATGGTGATTTTGGCTTCTGAAACTCGAAGAAAAGAAACCATAGATACGTCAGATAAATGTTAAGCTGGGGAGAACGCGTTGCACAATGACTTGTATGCAGTAACGCAAGTTTTGAATTTATCTTCTGCTGCTGCCTGCACAAATTCAATGATTCATCTCGTGAGGAGGACTCCAAGAATACAAATGAGTAGCTAAATTCCAGAACACAGTTTCAATAAAGGCATTGACATCAAAAAGTGGGATAGGCTATTGTAACCCGCTGTAACAACAATAACATACTCAGTGTAGTCCCACAAAGTGGGATGTTTCTCTATCAATAAACCCGACTAACATATGATGGGGGTTGCTTGAAACTAAAAGACAGCAAGAAAGCACTCTATTGCTCACCCTCATCCTGCTCATCTTCATCTATTTTACAAGCCAGAACCATGAACAGCAAGATGACTTTAATGACCATTATATACATTTTCAAAATATACTTCCTTTTGACCTCCTAAGAAATTCTTCTCACTTGATAACTACTAAAAGCCTTTAACAGGTGTTTACAAGAATAAGTTTATCGCATACGAGGACAAACATAGAAATTGTAAAGCTAACCTGTGAAGGGCCTTGATGTTTATCAGGATGCCACTTTAATGCTGATAAACGGAAACTGCAAGGACAATAATAGTATCTACATTAGTCTTCAATATAATCGAGTATGGAGAGCACAAAACTACTAAAACTTACGCATTCTTGACATCCTCAATCTTCAGAGGACCTCTTGGGGGCAAACCGAGAATTGTTCTTTCAGAGTAAGACCCTATATTACACGATTCATATTTGGATTCTGTATGTGTCTCGTTTTCAGTTTCATTATCCCATCTGTAATGCCTTTGTTCTGACCAGTCTGTTTCTTGTCTTCGGGAGAACAAATCTTCAAAACTAGATGATTTACCAGGCCTAAAAGACCAAGTGTACCACTTATTACCAAAAGTTGCTTCGAATACTGATTCAGGATATTCATCGAATTCTTCACATAATCTCCGTTTCTTCATTTTTCCTAAAAACGAATAATTAACAGGTCAATGAAGGCTACCTGCATCCTTCAATAAGCTCAGTATTGTGTCGCCATCAGCCATGTAAAGATATTAGAGAATAGCAATCAGAAAGCATAACAGAAGTTTATCTAGAGTTGTGACATACATAACTTTGTGACAGACATAACAAGTCCAATTTCCATTCTTTAAAGACGCATTAATTCAAGTGTTACTTTGAGCAGCTCAAATCCTTGCAATACAACTCCTAGATGGAAAAAATGCAAAGCAAGGCAAGTTCATCCTATTTTACTTAAGAATGATAGCAGCCAACTCACGGCCAATAAGCCTTTTTTATTTGGAAGACGAGCATTGCGTTCAATCTGAAAAGGCATTGTTTTCAGTATGTTTCCTGATAGGTACCTCACTAGTCCAGCTAGCAGGTGGGCAGTAAAGGAGCTTTCGAAACTATCCCAGCTCCACAAAAGTACCAAACCAATTAGGTCAAAGCACCAAATTTCAATAGCAATATATGTTTCAGTTACATCTGGAATTTAAGAATCTCAAGAAGGGGGCCAAAGGTTGAAACACACTGATATTTTTTAAGTGTGATATAAGAATTTTCATTAAAAGCAGAGACCCAATTGTGAAATGAGAGTACAAACTTACGCATCCTTCTCCTTGAGCGATCTCTAAGACGAGCAGCGGACTTATATTCACTTTTCTTCTCTGAACGATCATCCCGATCCATATCCCATCTATCATTTATTGTTGAAGATTCATTCTAGTAAATTATTCAACAAGAAAATAGCATATTGTCCATGAGTAGAATAAATTTTGAGGTAAAAAATAGAGAAATGAGAAGAGAATTTAATTCAAAAAGAGTACTTGCATGCAATTGATCAGATACTAAAGTTCAGAAGCTGAACACATTATACTATGCGGACTTTAAACCAGAAAAGGTGGCATTCATGCCTTGGAGGCTCGGACCACAGAGGAAGTTAAGCCAGTACACTACAGTAGACCATAACTTCCTTAGAAAGCAGAAACCCACGAACAGAGTCAAGATGCGACGGGGGAGAAAGGCAAAGCAGTAAAGAACAAAGACAAACTATACATGGGATGAGGTATAAGTGAAAATTTCATCACTGCTTATGTGACTCCATCTT